CCCCCCCGGATAGTGCACTCAACAATAGGCTTGTCAAGAGGGCAGATCAATTGCCCTTTGATCATCTTCCCAATGTTGGCCAGCCTTGCCTTGTCAAGCTCAGGTTGCGCAAGTACTGGTTGCAGCTGATCTGGCTGGAAAGGGATTTGCTCTTCATCCTGGCAATACATGAAGGGGTGCTGAAGTACAGAAGCCTACTTGTGAAAGACTACAGCAGTGTAATGCACCTCCAATCTGCTGTATTCTGTGCAGCTGAGAAAGCTGGCCCTGCCATATTTGCCCTCCTGAAGGACAGACCAGTGCAGCGCAGAAATTGCTCAACAACTTGCGCAAATGGGTGCACAAGCTCTGCCTGCTGAATGAGATGTTCCATAAGACCATGAGTAATAATGGACATGAGCACCCCTGCTTGCAAAGGAATATTCCCATGTTGCAAGAGAGCCGACAGAAAGAGCATCAAATATAAAAGCCGGTTGTGGAGGCAAATCCCCAGATCAGCCAGCTCCAGCACAGCACCTTAAAAGGCGCCAGCTGGCATGACCATGCAGAGCCCTTTGCGCACGTCTTTCTTGTCTCAATGTACTCCAAGAGCGGTGCAATTTGTCAGACTGTTGATTGCAGCAGAACTCCATGGCACAACAAGAGCAACACCTTGCCGCGTCATCTCCAAGGCAATTGGACAAGGAGTCTTGCCAGAGAGACGACAAGGGCCGCTGTTGAGCAGCAAGGCATCAAGACAAACCTTGTTGTAAGCCTCATAGACAAGGCATGAATGCAGCGCAAACAGATTGCGCATGCGTGCAAGCAAGTCCGTCATCTGCCTGCTATAGAGAAAGGGCAGGAGTGCCGCGCAATTGTCTTTGATTTTGACATTGTAGTTGTTGTCTGTCATGGCCATAGCGCTGGTGCCTGGTACCCAAAAGACGGCGTGCACGCATCCAAAAGATTGACCTGGCTCACAAGTCCTCTCGATTGCTTTTGCTGGCAGGTGCATCCCGCGGGCCCAGAGGGTGGCGTTGGCGAAGAAGATGTCCATGTTGTCTCAAGCCTCCTTTTGTTTTTGGACCACGTGGGCATGTTTCACCTCGGTGTCTCGGCGGTTTGGATGGGCGCGCACAAGGTCGAGAGCAGAGCGCTGGCGTTCTTCAGCCAGGGCGTTGGCTTTGCTGGCCAGTTTGTGTGCTTTGGACTCGATGAAGAGCGTCTGTCAGGCACGCTCTTCTGGAGTCAGACGCCATGGTTGCGCGTCTGCCGTCCATGTCGTTTGCTGCGTAGTCGTTGCGGTTGCGGTGGTGCTCGTGCTGCTGCTCGTGGTTGCGCCGGTGCTCGCGGTCGCGGCGGTGCTCCTGTTCCCGCCCGCGCTTGCAGGAAGGTCTGCGTTGGGCACATGCTTATGCCGTTGTTGCAGAGGCTGACTCCAACGTTGACTCATGATGCGCAACCCCTCTTTATCCACGCAAAAATTGTACTCTGGCTGACCAAGTCCACCGTTAAAGTTGAGCCAACTGTTGCTTTTCTGTGCAAAAAAAAAGGGGGGCGCCTGGTCAGATTGCGCGCGCAAGCACGCACGCACGCACGCGCACCCACTCACCTTCCACTTTGTTTTCTCCATTGCGATCCTCCTTGCCTTGCATGCCCTCTCTACCACTGCGTCGAGATCATAGGTGCCACCATGATCTTGGTGCGTCAGAGCATCTTTCAGGCTGAATCCGTGGCAGACGGTGAGGCAAATGGTGGTCGTTGTTGTGGGGTCAACGGCAACGGTTGCGCGGTACTGTTCAAACATCAGCGACAATGGCGACGGCTTTTGTTGCTTGGATGTCGGCAGCTTCACTTGATGCCAGACAACCGATGGGGACTGAAAGGCTGCTGCGAGTGCTTTCCCTCTCGCAATGATGCTAGCATGAGTCAGGTGCTCTAGCTGCCCTGCTGGAAGAGCGTCGCTGCAAATGGCGCCGATGAGGTGCAGCTTGCTCTTTATCTTGCGCTGCCTCTTGCATCTTGTGGGAGGGTCTGCTGTGGCTTGCACATAGAGCACCTTTTTTGTTACAAAGCTATGACGCTTGACCAGTGCCGGTGCGCTGAGACGATGGGAACGTCGTGCATCTAGACCCCGCGCACAAGCAGGGTCAGCACCGTTGCCAGCACGCGCTGCACACACTCACCTGCTCCCCCGGACTGTGTCACCCATACAATGGCTTTGATCTGGCAGGTCAAACATAACACTTGAGCAGCTTTTGCACACTGGGAGCCATGAACAGAGGTGCGCACCCAAAGTGTCTGAAGTTGCCACAACATGCCAATCAGAGCAATCCACAGCATCTCTCTTAGATGCTTTTGCCTCTTCTGTGCGCCAACCGAGCAGAAAGCCGCTTGAGTGTTATGCTGACAGTCATCAAGAAAGCAGTCATTGCAGGATTGCCACGGTGAAGGAGCAAGAGCGTTAGCAGCGCAGTAGCGGCAGCACATTTCTACTCACTGTTGGGGACAGCAGCATTGCTCTGTTGGCGTTTTGCAGTTGTGAGCGCAGGTGTGTCATTGCTGTGCTTGCGCTTTGTGTGATAAATGGTGGGCGGTTGCAGAGCTGCCAGCAAGGCGTTGAGGGGTGCAGAGGCCATTGCGGGCGGGCGCAAGGCGAGCGCAATGAGCCATTTGGGGGATGGTGTCGATGGATGGGGGGTGTGCGGTGCAATGTACGGGCGCAATGAGTGAGCGGTGCGATGAGCAGTGTGGATGAGCGGACGGTGTCGGTGAGCGCAATGAGGCGTGTGCTTGCGCTCGCGCTTGCGCTTGTCCGGTGTGAATGCAAAAGGACGTCTGACTTCTGCGCTCTCCTTGCACTTGCCACTCGCCACTCACCACTCGAGTGGGTAGATCTGCCTTTGATGCTGAGCCCCTGACAAAATTTTGATTCCAATGGTGGGCAGCATCTTGCTTCGTGCAACCGCAGCCAACGGCCTGGCAGAGCCCTTTTATAGGCTATGGAAGCTTGGAAAGCTGGGCACCAACACCATCAACAATCAGAGTGTCTGAGATCTCTTGCGCAACATGCTGTTCTGTTTGCTGCTTGATGGCAAGCAGTGGTGTGCCCTGGCATCTTTAGGGCAAGAAAGACCAAAGATTTGAGGAGCTGTGCAGTTGTGAGCCCTCAGATCACTGCAGCTGTCAAGGCAGCATCTGGCATCATTGCGAGCGAGACAGGAAAAGGCCGCTCTTTGCTGTACAATCAGCAACAAAAGTACCTCCCAGACAAGAGGCTTTTTCAGGCACCTTACACCATCAATCAATCGTGTCATGAGGGCATCAAGGAAGTCTTTTGGGTCCAGAAGAATACCAACTTTCCTTATTTCTGGCACTTTGGTGATGATGGTAATCTGCACTTGACTGCTGATGCCGGTTGAGGCTTGGCAGCACCTGCCAATAATGCTTACTACCCTCACTGGCCCCCAGAAAGTGTCGCAGCGACGGGCAAGAATCCAAACTTTACAGACGTGCTTGTTGTCCCTCTTGTTCAGCTTATTGCATTCAATTTGGATTCAAGAGCCTCAGCACATGCTTGGCCCAGTGGCATATCCCACAAATCATCTGCAAGCTGGATGCCTTCAATGCTCCTGATACCTTCTTTGGAAGGTTGTGAAAGCATGCTCTTCACAAATTTGAGAGCAGTCCTATCCAGGAGATCTTTCACAATACCTCCAAAGATCCAGGAAGTCAGGCCATGCTCAATGCTGGCACTGCTATTTGCTGTGCGCTTTTGAAACAAGTGGAAAGAAAGAAGGAGGCAGCTTGGATGATGCATCAACAATCTCACACCTGGTGTGAGCAATAAGGATACCAAGATTGCCTTGCTCAAGCAGCAACTGCAAGGCGCGCAACAAGGATCCTCTCCTGGTCTCCCAAAACGCCAGTAGACACCTCACTGTCACAGCAGCAACGTGCAGGAACAGAACAGCAGCTTGCTCCTGCTCCAGCTCCACCCTGTCCAGCCAAGTGCCTCCAACACATGCAAAGGCAGCTCACAGCAACCTCATTGCAAAAAAGTCAGCTTGCTCTGAGTCGAAGGAGGGCAAGCGGGAGGCTGCTTGTCAAAAGCACGCTCAGATCAACATGCGTCACCCGCTCAGAGCTTTCTACACTGGACAGGTAGAGCACTTGACGCCAAATGCGGCGCTTGGTTTCGTCCCTACTAAATCAAGCAAACGCCAGCAAGCACATGGTAGCTCAAGAGCTTCAGCAAATGAGATCTGACATTGCTCAAGAGGCCTGGAAGCGCGTCTATGATCGCTCAATTCAGCGTCACACCACTTAGTCAGAGCGCTTCACGTTGAGCGCCAACGCTGCGTTTGCTGCCAGAGGCAAGAAATGCCAGCAGACTACCCCAAAGCATGACCTCGCCAGAGTTGCTGCCCAGGCTACCAGTGACGCCGCATCTGAGGTAGCGTGGCTGATTCATTGCTGAGACATCGAGGAGCCTTGTGTTGCGCTCAACAATGGACGCTCTGCGCGCGTGAAGAGTGGAGTGAATTTCCGATCGGTCGAATCAGAGACTCAAATTCCGCGCATGCTCACGCTCTGCTCCTGACCCTTGGTCCTGTTCATCAGCTCTCAGTAGCTGCGAGGCCGCGCACTCGCGCGATCACTGAAAACAAATCATTTGACGTAAGCACAAGGTTTTCGATCTTGTGTAGCGAGCAGAGCAAAGAAAGCCCACCTACTACCAGCAGACCGAAGGCGGTCAGTCCCGATTTTTGTTCCGCAACACGGTCCGCCCCTGTCGATCTTTGACGCGTTTGGAGACCGCGGAGAAATTTACATATCATCCGAATTTGCCCTCTGCAAGTGATCTGAGCGCTGAGGATTAGTGCACTTCAATTAAGTCTGGGAGCTGCGACAAACCCAGTCACAGGACTATAGGTGTTGAACAAGGTGTCAGCTGCTTTTTAAAATCTCTCCACAAAAGCCGACTTTCACAGTCACAAGCGAAGGGAGACAAAGGACTGAGGGGTCAACGCGTAAACAAGGCATGCATCAGACTCAAGAGGTAGGGGATTACGCGGAAGTATAAATGTGCACTGATGGCTTGTGGAATGTTGGAGGCACCATGAGCCTTGATTCTAGTCGGCAGACAATTTGCGAACAAGGGGCATCCGCTTCACGCCGATATTGAGAAGCAAGACAGGGAAACAGAGCACTGGCATTCTGGTCTGTGACCAGCATCATATATTCTAAATATTACGGCTATTTAGGTCAAAAGCTCATGAGGTCAGAACACTCCACGCCTTCATTGGTCTAAAATGAATGACGACACGTTGGTTGATTTTGTGATCGAAGCAGATTTCACGCGGTATACTACCCTGAAAAGGTTCATCAGTCTTCTTCTGCTACTAGCTGTCTGATTTCTGATCGCGGCCGTTGTGACATCCTCTGTGCTCTTCGCTAAATTTTCTGCGTCCATGTTTTTTTGATACATTTGAGGCTGTCCCGTGAGGAAGAAATTCCCACCCACAGCTGTGAATCTTTTTTTTTTGGTCCGAGAGAGGACACTTTGGCATGATATCCTGCGACTCATGCGCTTCTCACCGCTGAACTCAGCCCAGTCCAGGCCAAGTCTTTTATCAGTGGCTACTTAGTCATCTATCACGATGCAATGAACGCTTTGAAGACTCACATTTCCTTGCAAAGCTGTTCTCATTGTGCAAAATACGTGTATTTGTCACGCCACGACTGAGAGGTTCCGCCGTTTATTGCAGTGTGTCCTCCATCTTCGAGCTCCTAGATCATTGAAAGTCTGCGCACCAGAAATGAAAATTTCATCGTGGGCCAAGCTGGTCCGGGATGTGAGGAAGCTGTTGTTTACGTAAAGTTGTGCCTAGGAGCAAAATTGCAATTTTCGGCTACAAAAGAGGCAAAGAAAAGACGATTGAGCGAAGCGTATGCGCCAACAATGAAAGAGCTTCTTATCTCAAATTTCGAAGTCTAAACGGTCTTTTCTTTTGTTGCTGCAGAGAATCCTGTCACCATTTCTGCGGGCTGCTCACACAGCCACCCTGCCGGCTTAGTCTCGCACTAGATCGTGCGCTGGTTCTGAATGCGACATCCACGATGGAGCTCAATGCGTCGTCGTCCACGTTGTTCAGCAACGTCTGGTACTGCTGGACCGTGGTGAGCACGATCGTGACCACCATGCGTCCGAATGCTGAAGCAGCAAGCAACGTGTGAGCGTGGGCATCAAACCAACCCCGGCGCATATCTTTCCTGTCCCAAAACGCGTCGTCGCACAAGAGCTGATGCGCTTCGTCCGAGTTGGCATCCAGGAGATCAGGAAAGATTTGGCACCAAAAGATGCTTGCCTTTCTGACCTTTGGTCTCGCGTCGACTTCCAAACCTGGTTCACGGCCGCGAATCTGCCAATATCGTGACACGTGCTGTATGGAGCAGGCGTGGTGACTAAAGACCACAACCTGTTCAGGAAAGGCACCAACCGGTAATTTTCGACGACGAAGGCTCAGGAGCATGAGTCGTCCCGTACGAACGCCAAGAGACGTCTTCACGAAAGAAGAATGAGGCGGCTGAGGTTATTTTGCCTTCGCCGATCGAGCCTGTCCACTGGCTAATGGTTCTCACTGCGCACTCTGAAACGTTTTTTCGATGCTGCACGCGCTTGGCGCTGCTGCAGCCTGCATTTGCGGTCTTCAGCGAGAAGGGAAGCAGCCAAGATGGCAAATTCGAATTGAGCGGAGAGTAATGTGGAACAAAGTCGTTCGAGACAGTGTGGGCTGACAAAATGTATGACACTACTAGCGAAGATTTCAAGACTACTTGTCACCGCTGTCAAGCCAGCTCCTCAGAAACGCAGGAAGATTCTTCTAGACGCAAAAGCGGGCTTCAGTGTCTCCCCAAGCATTCCAAGAGTGCTTTATCTTCAAGTCTGCGCGAAAAGCCAAGCCCTGCGGCTTCCCAAGAAGTGCAACTGCGAGAAACGTTGCCCATGCTTGACCATCCCACTTAGCGCGTGAGTCTTTTTCGGCACCTGACTTCCCAGAGACTTTGCTGGATGGGTTCAAGCGCTTCTCAATCACTAGCTGCTACAGATCTGAGCGTGGGCTACCATCAGGCTGATCGGGATCTAGATCATGCTGTGAGAAAGGAACGTGTCGCAATGCAGGCTAACCAGCTTGACTACATCCTGGCCATTACCCGGCTCAACAGACGCTCACCACAGCTCGTCTTCAGCTGGTACACCCTGACTTTCTGAACGCACTGCTTAGGATTGAGATACGAGCACCAAGCGCTCGCGATGCGGGATTTCAGACGAATTTTATGGCACAGCTATTGCGCTACCCAGTAGCGCCTGTCCTCCTCCAGCTCCGACTGTGTCTTCTTACGAAGCTTCCTGATCTCTGTGAGATCCAACAGGGTATTCTGGACTACGTCACGCGGGTCTTGTTTATTGGCGGCGAACATTACGGTCGAGAGAGCCCTCAGAATAGACTCACGGGGTTCCAGCGTATTGTTCGCGTCCTGCAGGACCGAGGGCAGTCTCAAAGTATCGTGCAGCCGACAGCAGCCCTTGACACAAATTGAACCCCATCGACCATAATTTGAGCCCTGGCAAACTTCCCAAAGAATTTCAACGAAGCATGATTCACGTGCGGAGATGCTTCTCTGACTTTTCAAATACTGATGACTCTACCTCTGTGATCCAACTGAAACGTCAGATAACTATCCTGCGCCGACGGAGCAAAAGGGCACTCGCTGTCTTTTATTGGGAGCGGCCGACCTCGTTTAAAGACAGTCAAGACCGGTGATAATATGGCTCTGACGCGTCTTCTGAGAGCCGGTTCAAGCAAACGTTAAGACAGATACAAACATTGGCGTGTGTGTGGAGGAGGACCCAGCTTTATCTTGCAGACGCAGTCTCGACGACGCGACATCTTTTTAAATTAACACAAATGAAGTTAGCCACCAATTGTTGACTGGCGAATTAGCCGCGGCTGCACAGCCTTAGCTTTCCAAAGTTGCGCCTGATTGCCTCCACGTTCTCGTCTTCCTGCTCAGGGTATACACTGCATATGGAGAACTTAGAGATGTGACACTCCGGCAATTCTCTTGCGCAACAAACCTGCAGCTACTGCATTGCGAGCATTTTTCCACCGTTTGCGCTCGTCAAGGGCAAGCTGTGCCCCATGGTAGATCACCCAGTTCTGGCAATTCTCAACCAATTGTAGCTCATTGTCAGATGTACTTCTCTGCTCGAACCAGTGCTGCGCAGTGCTGGGTTTTCTGACGACCTTATGAGCGGTAATCCACAGGTAGCAGGCGAACAAGCTGACTGCCTGTTTTAGCATGCAGCTGTAGCAGAACTTAGAGCATAAAGAGCTGCTTGTTGCCACTAGTATGGGCTTGGCGTCCAAGAGCATCAATGTGGGCGCGTGGAGGATGGATTTGGAACGCCTTCACATAGCTGATTGAGACTTGCTCCAAGGCCTCTCCGCTGCAAGACTCGCGCCTCGAGCTTCAGCATGGTCAACAAAAAGAATGCTCGCGCATCGAACTCAGGCATCGCCTCGAACTTCAGCATGGTCAAAAAAAAAGAATGCTCGCGCATCGCATTCAGGCATCGCGAACAAGGAGAGTGCTCGTACATTGAGCTCAGGCACTGTCAAGGAAACTGCTCGCTCCGTCACTACAAAGAATATTTGCGCACCGGATTCAGGCACCTTGAAGAATCCTGCTCGCACCGTCAGCATGGAGAATACTTGGGCGCTCAACTGGCCTGTGCTGTCTTACAAACAGTCTGTCTCCCTTGGGGCACCATGCAGTATTGAAAGGGCAGACCAATCTGACAATAATTTGTGCATGCCATATCCAAAGGTTAAGACTGGAGAAGAAGGTTGCCATTGATTTTTGAAGCAAGTTGAGGGCTGCCAAATTGGACCTTCCATTGGCAGTGCCAATTCTTCTGACCTCACCTTCCAAGCCAGAGAGGGCTTTGATCAGAGAGCCTACAGGCTTGCAAAAGCTGCTGCAGCTGCAGAAGGAGAGGCCAAGCTCAGGAAGGCTCCATGGGAGGATACTTCTGCCTCCATGAATGGGCACAAGCCTGCTTCCCAAAAGACCACTTCTTGGTCCCTGGAGATCAAGCATGTAGATCTAGTCACAGAGCTAGACAAGCTGGACACAGCTGGTTTGCTCAGCAATGGTCTGCCCACTGCAACCATTCACTGGCTAGCACATCAGCATCAAGTAAGCCGCTGAAGACTTTTTTGATTTCATCAAGTACAAATACCAAAAGTCTTTGAACATGTTGGTCACAAGCAGCAAGCGCATCTGCCTGGGAACAGAGGTTGAAGGAAGCAAATCCCACAACACAGCTGCATCTTTTTCCACAGCTTCATCCAATGTCCCAATCATAAGAAGCTCTGCTATCTCAGTGGCCAGAAAGCTTGCAGTGTTGGTGAAACAATACCCAAGCCGCAGCCAAGATGTGAGCTTCCAAGGCATTGAGGTTGCAAATCTAGACGCTTGCTCATGGCACATTGAGATGCTCGCTCATGAAAAGCCCTTACTTCCTGGCCCTTGGAGGTGGAGTATGCAGACCTTGTTGCTCAATTAAACAAATTGAATGCAGCCAACTTGCTCAGCAACGGGCTGCTTGCTACAGTTCTGGCTCATCTGGCTGACCAGTATGGGCTTGAGTACCCTAGGGTAGAAGCTTTCATCAGGTACAGGTACAGAAAGCCAGCTCCTATTAGTCCAGCAGTTTAGATGGCACCCTCAACAACAGCACAAAATCTTGCGGCGCGGCGAAATGCCTGAGCTACAGCCAAGATGTGGGTCCTGACGCATCGAACGCTCAAACGTGAAAGGAAAACGTTCAAACTCGGTTTATTACAAGTGACAGGAGCAGCGACGGGAGGGCTAATGTGAAGGCTGCCTGCAGCCTCAAAAATGGTGAGTCTGACGCCATCAGCACGCAGCCAGCGCGGATCACACGTACGAGACAATGTGCTTGCTTGGGAGTGGGATTGTACACGATCACGCGCAGGCAGCCTAATAATGCGCAATCACACGATTGTAAGCGGCAAACCACCGCGACGCTACGCCTCGCGACTATGAATCATTCTTGACCGCATCCAACTTCTTCTCGAGATCAAGTCCCACGAGAACATCCAGCAAGCGAGTAAATGCTTGTCGCCTCTTCTCATCGCTGGCAGACTTGACATGTTTGTTCAGCATCTCGTCGAGATCCGAGGCAGCTCGTAAAGAGTCTCCAGCGGCTTTTTCGTCGATAAGCTCCAGTCGAACGGCGATGGAAGCTGTTCGACTGTCCATGAAAGGATAGACTGCATGCCAACCTTCGTGAGCTTGGATCCGCCGTAAAAAGATGTCTACACCCGTGGGACCCAAGCCTTTGACGCCGGAAGTGAGCTTGCTGCGAGCCGTCTCCACGGCTTCATTTCGCTTCTGGCCCTGAACAGCCTCGCGAACTGCTTTGAGCTGGATGACATCCTGTTCATTGTCACCGCAGATTTCTCTGAGACCTTGCACGACATCACCTAGCTGGTCAGCAGTCTTGTCCTTGTGCTGGGTACGCGCTTCGTACATTGGCTCTCGCCTCCCCTCTTTGCCTGCTTTTTCCAGGGCTTCTGGTGTGTAGAGACCGAACGGCGGGCTGAAGAGAGTGGCGATGGTCCGCAGACCAAGGCGATGCGATAGCGGCTTGGATAGCAGAATCGCGCAAATGAGCTCGGCAAAGGGCGTCAAGCCTGGCGAAGTGTAGCCGCGCGCTTTTCCCGTCGACCGATCCTGACCACCATCAGCGTCTGTGCGCTGCTCGGCTTCCATTTGACCCGCCTTCTCCTTTGGAAGCGGTTTGACGCGTTCCTCTTCAGACCAGTCTTTCTCGCCGTGCCCCTTTTCTATTCTCGGATAAGCAAGGGCATAGACCTCTTCGCTCAGCAAACGCTTCATCAACGAGGCAGTCGTGGAAGCTGTGCCGTCGCTGGCCTGCTTAGTCTCCACCTTGCCTCCTTGCTTCTTCGTTGCTGGCTGCTTTGCTGTCTTGGCAGCCTTTGCAGGCGGCTCGGAGGGCTCGTCCTTTGATGACGCGCTGCGTTTGGAACGCGTTTGAGCTGGCATGTTTGCGCTTGTTGTGTGTGTTGGAACGGCGAGTGGAGTCACAGTGAGTTGTCGTCGAAGGTTCACAATTGGTGAGAGTCAGTTCCGACGAGCCAATATCCAAGCGTCCCTCTCCATCCTGGCTCCTCAAAAAGCTCGAGTCTACAAGCCAAGACCACGAATCCAGGAAGGTCTGATGAGCATCTTTAATCGGAGCCTGGCACTCCCACTCACCACTGCTGAGTTACAAGAGTCGCGCATGTTAGTCAAAGTCAAAAAGTGGAGGCTGACACAGCCAAATTACCGATCACGTGTCGTCTCGGACGCGCGCACGTCAAAAGCGCGTTGTGTCAGACCCAAGACATCAAGATCGAACATCGTGCAGAGCGCGACCTGTGGCATTCGTGATTCAGCAGTCTGAGTCGTGAGTTGATTATGATTCGTGATACATGAACACATTCATGATTCACCAAGGGTGCGTGCGCATTTCAGACAATGAGAAAGAAGTGCCTACACCCACTCATCGAACCTTGCACCTTCAGCGTATCGACGCTTCGGATTCGTGATTGTCAGCAATGGCATACGCGCACATCATCAGAATCGCACATAAGCTTCTGAATCGTGGATGCTGCGACGAAAGCACTCGATTTCCTCGAATTGATGCGCAGCCAGGCAGGCACGGTCTGGCGATGCGACGAGTCTCAGGGAAAGGAGAGGGTGGGTGGAGCGTGTACGGGAGCGCAAAAAGTCGTGAGTCTAGCAATGGTGGCAGGAACGGGCGCAACGGGCGGCGCGGGGCTGAGGATGGGGCACGGCAGCAATATTCGCATTCGCACGAATTTCCTTTCGAGCATCCTGGTTGCTGTGGTGCGCTCGAGGCGAGGCGAGGCGGAGGCAGAGGTTGAGGGAACGAATGACTGAGCTTTTCGGGCCGAGTTGCGCCTCTATTACGGAGGAGCGGTACCTCCACCGCCTGGCGTCTCGTAGCAGATGGGTTCATCGGGAGTGAAGTCGCACGATGGGCCCTCATCGCGTCGAAGCTGCTGTTCGACATCGCGCTGCTGATCTGGCACTCCATGGCACACCTGGCCTTCTCCGGGCACCCATTCGCACTTGACGTGCACCTCGCGACCAGCCAGATCTACACTTGCCGCGCGGTCGCGTCGAGGCTGCTTCGCGCGCGGCTCCCACGTTTGACGCCAAACAAGGCCGCTTTGTTCGCCTTCGCGGCGCCGACGAAGATGACACGAGGGGTCATCTGGATACTCGACGCACATATTCACCGGGTTGGGCTTCGGAAGTTCAGGGCTGACCTCCTTAGGGGGATCGCTGTCTCGATCATGACGGCGGTCATGGGGCTCCCTCTTCTCTTTTTGGCTCAGAGTGTCACGGCGACGTTTGTCATGATCGCACTCGGGATCATCTGGATACAAAGTGCACATGCTGACAGGATCCGGCTTGTCCGGATCAGCGCCTCGAAGTTGATTGCGGCGGTACTCGTGGGCTTTGCCTTTCTCTTCTTCTTGAATGAGGGTTTTAATTGGTGCACTTCGCACCCTTAGCATTTCACCTTCTGGGCGAGCCGGATGGGAGCGTGTTGGAAGCACATTTAATGGAGACGCTTCAACAGCGCGCCTGTGTAGGACCGAGGTCGACTTTGACTGGGTTGCAAGACGCTTGTCGCCGAAACGACGCTTGATCAGTTCGGTAGCAAGACCGACGGAACGGCGACATTTATTCTGGCAGTAGCAATTGGTCGGATTGTCCTCGCACCAAGGAGCGTACTGTCGGACAACGAGGTCGCTGACTGAGATGTCTCGATGTAGAACTTCTCGCTTTCCGCGCGACGGCGAATAGCCTTCCGATGCTTTGCCGGCCGACCGTGGCGCGAGGAGCCTGCTAGGCTGGACGTCGCGCTGCTGGACTGCGTCGATGGAGTTGGTCTCTGAGATATAGGCGGAGCGTTTACAACCAAGCAGCCTTCCGCATTTGAAAAGGCTCCGACTCAGACGCGGGACCAACCTGCCGGGTTGCAGGCCGCGCTCCTGGACTGCGTCGGTGGTATCGATCTCTGACAGGTAGCGGGGATGATGGCAGGCGATCAGCCACTTGCAGACGAAGAGTCGCGGCTGCAATAGGTCGTCGGGTGGAGTGTCCCGCCCTTGCACGACCTCTGCCGGGGCATTGCCCTCAATGGAGCGGCGGTGACCACAGTAGGCGCCGCCGACCCACTTGCAGAAGGTGCCCATGCTCAGGCGCGGGATCAACTTATGGGGATGAGAGTCGCGCGCCCGAATCACCTGTACAGCGACTGGCCGAGCAGCGACTAGATGGCTAGCTGTCAGGAAGGCCACGCAGAGGGCTGCAACCTTGATCAGCTGCGGTGCGCGCATGCTTGCTTTGTTGAGTGTCTGAGAGCTGCAAAGCAGGCAGCCCCGAGGCGAAGGTCAGGCTTACAAAGTCACGAGGCAGGAGTCACGAGTCTGTGGAAGGAGCGTATCATGGCAGGCACCGTCGCGCTCCCTCCTTTTGTATGTTAACAAGGACTTGTCTGTTCTCGATTGTGCACTGCGCTCTCCAATCCTCTTTGCCCTATTTGTCCGAGGTACAGTGCCCGGCTCACCATTACTCCTCCCCCCCCCACCCCATGTGCGCTCAGGTCCTTGACTGCAATACTTTCTGCGCATACGGCGCAGAAGTATCCCAAAGTGCCCCATCGGAGCAGTGTGACATCTGAATTGCTCCCGTTCGCCGACGACGAGAGTGCACTCGAGCTTGTCTCCGCTGCGTGCGCGTGGGCTACATAGACACCAAAGTGCACGATGGCAAGCTGACCGGTTCTGTTCATTTCTGGATGTCTGCCTCAATTGCGGCAGCCGATCGAGAGGTATCGGACAACGTTGAAGGCGCAGCAGGCAGACCAATTGTGCAAGAGCTCGATCACCCGGACGTTCGCAGGCAAGCGTAGCCTCGAGGACCAGGGTGACCTGATCAAGGCGACCGCACCTCATTCTTTGGAGGCGCAGCTAGCTACCACCGAGAGTAACAATTAGCGTCAGGAGCGCGAAATACGGGCACCTCGATGCGTTGCGCGCCAATGCGGTGTTTATCACCGAGAGCCCTACCCAAGTCTCGCGCAGTCACCACTGCGCGCGAACGCGACGCGCACGATGTTTCGGGCTCATACAACGCCATGCAGCTCTCGATCAAAGCTCACGGGAGATGTGATCAAGGTCGAAAGTATCATCAAAGTCAAGACTCAAATCTGAATGGCTAACACGGAACGTAGATTTTGAAGGAAGCATTCATTCGTGATGGTGTCTCTAAAGCTCGACGCGCGCAGCTGTACATGCGTCTAGTTGGCGCGCGCGCGCGCGCGCGGTGCATGCATCCAACAAGTTATTGAACTCCCACCGACCACGCATGCATCCTGCTTGCCGCCGACACGCAGCCTCTTTTCGCAGTCCCGGTGACAGTCTTCGACCCCACAACGGCCCTCGATCACGACCCGAAAGGCGCTGTGGAATGGCGGGATGCATTGAGCTTCATTATGCAGGCGCAAAATTCAAGCAGCCAACGATGAGGCAGCGTCACCCACGTTCTTTGATTCCACAGAAAGTCCACCCGTAGCACAATGTCTTGAGAGAAGGGTTACACAGATGTGTTTGGCAGCAGTCTCAATCAAAAGAAAATGTCGATGTCAAGCTGTAGGCCTGCTCGCAATACGTCTTTGCGACGAGACTTACAACCCGGACCAGGCGGTAGTCCACAAGGACCTCCCAATCTTGGTAAGAGGACCTCCGTGGGTGCTGCTCGAGTGAAGGAGACGACGCAAAGAGTGAGGAGTGTGCACAAGACGGCCTGCTTCATGTTGGGTCGGAGAGAGTAATCTTCAGATTTCTTTGTGAGGATGCTGCGCGAAAGCATTTCGACGGTTGCCATCGGAGTGTCGTGGGGTGACAATTGTCGATGCGACTGACCCTTTAGATTCATACTTATATATCCTTGAGTTGCGATATCGCTGCGATGCGCTGCAAGACCCATGCAAATGCAAGATGACCTCGGTAAGGGGGCCAATCTGTGGTCCGCGGAATTGCACTTTGGCGCGAGTGTCCATTGCACTATATAGTGAGACGACGGTTGTGGTGTTTGTCAGCCCTTATTTGCTCCAATTGCAGGCCCACTGAAGGCTCCCGGCGTCACTTCAGCCTCGACGTCCAAGGTCGCGCTTTCACATCGCTCGTGTGTTGCTCAAGACGTGTTGCCGCCCGCGACTACGCAGACATAACATGCGAGAGAAGCGCTCACAGGGTCAACACGCTTCTCAACGCGCTCATCGGACAACCAAAAATGTGACTTGTTTCATTGCAATCTCGCTTGTGTGTTGGTGTGGGCTGATTGTCATCTCGATTCGACACTGGCGAGTGCCCAGAGTTGTGAAAGTGTACGTCTAAATTGCTCCAGCCTTGCTTGTGCAAGGCGTGAGATTTTGTCTTGGCTACGCACTGCCCGACTTTCCTCGTCTCGCTTGTATGGTCATTGCATGCGCGAATCAGCGGACTAAGCACGTTGCGGACGAGCAGGATATGCTGTGATCGATGCACACCGAACTCACGAGAGGATATCAGCACTTCTCATGGTGCCAGCAAATTTCCATTGGCCCGTTGTTGCACGTGAAACTTTTGCAGCAGTCTGTAGAAAAGGTGTCAAAGTCAGCCTTGCCTTGAAATTACGAGGGCTTCGTCGGCTGCGTGACGGTGGACTCTCACATCCCGGTGGTGGCGGCGGGCACAGCTCCTCCTCCTGCCTTGGCAACAATGCGCGCGTCGAAGCTGCATTGAGGCCTGCCGCAGCGCACAAAAAGACCATAGAAATGGCGATACTTTTCGCTCTCATGCTGCTCCGGCGTCTGTACTTTCAAGGATGACTGTGCAGTTCAGAGTGTTGAGAGGTTGCTTGATTTTGTGGCGTACGATGTGTTGAGATGACTGACGGAGATGGGGCTGGATTGGCCCGCTTTCATACCTTTGTATAACAGACACAAGGGCACGACTCTGCTGCACAGATTCTCCATAGAAGGTCCCCCACATATTCCCAAGAGAGGCAAACATAGCTCAGGTAGACGCGGTGCTTGTGGGTCCGCGGACGCAGCCCCGGGGTCAGCATGGCCCGCATATTTGGTCCAAGTCTGCGCCAAAAGTGAGTAGGTGTACACCAAAGAGGGATGGGTGTCTATGCCACTGCGCAAATGAGGTGCGCTCAATGTCGAGGCCAAGGCTGCCATTTGAGCCGTCGAATGCGCATTAGAAAGTCATCATGATCAGGGCCTCGGCTTCTGCTCCCTTGCAATCGTGAATGATTGCCCCGCAGAGCGTCCGGACATCAATCCTCCGGCGGTGCACGTCTGCGCCGTCTTATCCATCGCCGAGTAAAAAGATTCGCTTGCGCAGCTCGCGGACAAGGTGCAGCTTGCTTGATGCCCCACAATTGAGTCTCTCGTTGGCAGACAGAACACGGCCGAGCGTTGATGTCTCATTCTTTCAATTTCACGCAAATTGTAGTCTCATGGACACCGCGTAGATGCCAACTCTTTCGATCATGCTCAGGTAAACAGGCCAGGAGGGTTCCAATACCTCATAATTTGCTGCTACGACAGTCGCAACGGGCGCAAGGCGCTTGATGGTGACACGGGTGACTCAATGCGTCGCAAGAGGTCTCTCAACGACGAGGGGGATGGGGATTCTTCGGATCATGTCCTAGCGTTGGCGGCGACGCAGAGAATGGCGGGTCTTTGGGCCTGAAGAGTGACGAATTGGGGCGTATGGAGTCAGCCAAGTGCTGCATGCACTGGCCTTGATGATTGTACTCACGGGTGGTCGTGGTTGCACAACGTCTTCCTATAGCAGGTCTGTTGACCGTACACCCCGCATGTATATGGCTTGCAGCAAGCTAGTCGAAGTAACAAATACGTCAGCTGCTTTCGCACTTTTGATCACGCGAGACGTTGCAGTGGAAGGGGGCATAGGTATCTTTCACCGAGAAGGCCGCGCGCTCGCCTCCGCAAGACTCACTCTGCACAGTCTCGTGGCAAGGGTGCACCATTTCTTGCCGAGCCAAAAGTGTCGCGATGCTGTCACCCGGCGAAGCGCCAAAGACTTGTCCAGGAGGAGCAGCAGATGATGGAATGACACTGACCATTGCAACGAGCATCGTTGCTGCCATGACTTTGAGGCGAATCGCCTTCATGTTCGAATCCTCGGCTTTGATTGGCTGGCGTGGTCCAGAGATATGTGTGTGAGAGAGATAGGGGCGAAGCGGGACGAATTCAGCGCTCGCGCTTAAAAGCGAGCAATGGCTGCAACTTCGGACCAAAGGGAAGGGCGGGTGGAATGGCAGCCGCTGATCGCTCGCGCTGGCGTTGCTCATCAACTCGTCCCGTCTTTTGCGAATGCAATCGATCGCATCTGCTGTCCACGGAGAGTGTTTTGCAAATTCAATTGTCCGCGAATGTACCCTCTATCCGGCCCTCGTCATCAAGTCTGCGTAAAGTGCGCGCGCCGGGTTTGGATGGAAGCAGATCGAACATACTCCTGCGCTGCACCGCTTTGAAGACCAGTCCAAGCGATGAGCATGCGAGATCACAACAAAGTCTTGCACGCAACAAAATGCAGCAGTGATTGCTTGCGCGATGCACAACACATCAGGAAGAATGCATTCAATTGCGGGCTCGCGGTACTCGTCAAGGGTAGTGAACAACGATGTGGTAGACTTGACTGCCACTTTGGATTTGTCCACTCTTCCTTCTCCATGCGAGGACAGTGAACATTCTTTCGCAAGCGACAAGCACTCCTCGCTCCTCCGGCAAGAATTGCAGCCGTTCCTTGATTTAGGGGGGCGTCGGCTTCGGTGGAGCTTTGTATGCTGTCATCGCGAACATTATAAACGTGAGCGTGCGGCCGCTGTGGGGCTCGCTCGCAGGCCGTCGGCCTACGCACCACCATTGCAAGGACCCAATTCATAGCACGTGCCGTACTCGCACGGGTGAGGATGACAGCAGGCTAGAATGAGGGGCCAAGGCTTCGTTTCAGCTCGAGCTCCGTTTTGCTCAGGAAAGTTGCGCATACTCACTGACTGGGGGAGTGGCGTAGCAGAATAGCTTGCGTCGATTGAGCGTAGCGCCGCCGATGGCAGTGTCCGATTCGGTCGGAATGGCAGCTGTTTGCGTTGCGAGTAGCGCGACAGCTCCCAGGATGAGTGCGATGAAGATTGTCGACTTCATGATGTGCGCGTTGAGATGCTTTCTGAGTTCAAATTTGCTGGCTTATTCTGGCCAAGTGGGGCTTTGTGGCATGTCCAAGGGCGAGCAAATGGAGCGTCGGGGTCGTGCTTTATACCTTTGCAAGCTCGAGGATCTGCTCGGTACGAAGGTACGATCAGCACACAGGCGAGCACTCAATTTCCGTGGCGAGCGTGTTGCGCGGGCTTCGAGCGCAACATGGTTAGAGCCTTGATTGTCAGAAGACGCCCTTTGGCATAAGAGGTTCCTCCAAGCGCTCGCTAACCAATGCCTCACCGCTGTAGTTCAAAGACGGAGCAGTCTGCGCGAACAAGGCATCGTGCGCAGTACCGGTAAGTCATTTTATAGTAACCTGTTCCCTCACCATGGGTTGCGAGAAACACAAACGATGAGCGAGGTACACCGAGCGCCATTGTGCGGCGTTGATACCCGCGGACGTAGGTGTCGGATCGCTCGTGTCTACAAACGGCTTTGCCGGCAGTTGCTCGCCCACGGACGAGCCAGTGCGCGGCCGAATACAACGCAAATGCAAGCAAGCGCACGCCTCTCGCGCAACACGTTCGTCTGTCTGCACGCATTCGAAGGGAGGGGGGGTATCAATTGAATTGCGTTAAGGAGAGTGTAAAATGCCGCGCACCTTCTCGTCGTCGTCACTATCTCCTGACTACAGCCAGTACCACATTCCAGCCCGCAACGAGACCTTTGAGCTCCACAAGTCTGCGCAATTCTCTCCTCGCGACCCGATCGGCATGCGGCGCAGTCGATGAGATGGGCAGACCGTCGAGCAAACGTCGAACCTGCGTTGCAGCATCTCGAGTCGAACCCGAGGCAGCGTCGGGCAAGGAGACGGGAGCGAGCAAGAAATCCGACGGTTCCAATAGCCCTCGAAAGAGGCTTCCAAGGAGAAAGGCGACCAGGCTAGCTAGGATCAGCGTGGCTAGACTGAAATGCTTGCCTCCCAGCGCTCTGACCGCCGCAGCTGCAGTTTGACGAGCTGGCTCCGAGACGGCCGACATGGCACCAGGGACGATGTTATCGGCCGCCTTGGAATTAGCAGCCACCTGTGCAGCGTCGCTCGACTCGACTACCTTGCCATCCTTGTCGTCCCTCGTCGTCGTCGTCGCGCGCTTCGTTGCAAAAATGCCGCCATCCGCAGTCGCAGCAGAAAGTGCGGTCGACGCGCCCAAACGCGAGAGTGGATAAGTGTTGAGCACGTTCATGAGCGCTGCGCTCGTCGACCCAGCCTCGTACTCCTGGCGAAAGCGAGGGCACGTGAGCGTGTTGTGCGATCACGATCGCGTGCAGGGAAACTCACCTTGACCGGAGATGCATCCGCAGCACGCACATCGCCTTTGCGCGGTGTGGACGGCGGAGAAGTCGCGGACTTTTTGGAGACTTTGGAGTCCGTGGAGGGCTCTTTGTCCAAGACGGCTTTTGAAGGTTCAGGATCCGGCAGGAGATCAAGGCGCACGGCTTTCGGAATGCGCAGAGGAGCCGGCGCGTCATTCTCGTTGGAAGCCGCGCCAGCCGATGCAGGCAGTCTACAGCGTGGGGCAAAAGAGCGTGCGTGAGCTGCGCCGTATGTCGCGCACGTACGCAACCACACCCACTCACCTCTCGAGCGTGGGAACATTCTCATCCACCGTACCCGAACTCTCGCGCTGAAGCATCGCAGAAGTCGCATTGACGTGCGTGACGTCCAAACGACGTTGGTCAAAAAACGGCCGGACGGGGCTCGCATCCTCGTCCTCAACGTCCTCGGCAGCATCTGCAGGCGCATTGTCGCTCGTGCGAGGTGCAATGAGCAGCCTGACGAGCGCTCCGCGTTGGCCAAGGTCAATGTACCACTGCGGCAGGTCCGCTGCGGATCCATGCGCAAAGGCCGAGTCAGGGATAGACACGCGCAAAAGGTGTTGCTGCGGACGCGATCCAGGATCCAGTGTAGCGGCCAGAGCGGCGGACGGAGGTAGATCGAATGCTTGCACAGTGCAGGGCACGTCGCGCGTCTTGATGTCAGGCGGCAATGCCGATAATCCCAGCGGTGCGGTTCCTGCGCTCAGTGCCGACGAGACGTGCACATCGTACCCTTTGACCGAAGCATAATGCCTCAGCTCGATGACGGCGTCCACTAGAGTTGTATCGCGCGGTTGAGACCGAATCGTCGACGGTCTGGATCCGCGCAGAGAGATCAGACTCGTCGCTCGAGAGGCCGCTCGCGATGGCGGATTAGACGGCAGCTGGGCGTGCCCGTGACTCGACTCGGGTTGCACTCGAGGAAACGGCAAATCGTCTGGATCTTTCGCGCCCGTAGGAGTCGAATCGGGATCTCGCGCCTCGCGTGGTGGAATGTGGATGAGCACATCAGCCTGGCGCGTGTCCGCATCGAAATTGTACTCGAGCAGGGTCGCGATTCGCGCCGACGGATTTTGAAGCGTCCACACTAGCCCTCTACTCTCGTCCATCTCATCTCCACGCACGTGTACAGCCGGTGCCGGACTGCGCAACACGTGAGCAGGCCCGCACCGCTTGAGGATGTCTTCAATGTTGAGCACGGCGCGAGGTAAATTGGCGTTCCAGTGCGTATTGACAGCTATCGGAACATTGCCCTTGTAATCCACAGCTATGACGTGCGTGCAGCGCGTAGACGGAATAGGATGATTGTGCGTCGCGCTGTATGGATCCAGCGTTTCCAAAATCCAGCCATCGATGAGCACGCGACCGGTGGGTAAGCTGAGCGGGTTGATCTTGTTCGCATCCAGCTCGTCGTGGCGCGAATCGTAGCTGGCGGACGCGCAAAACAGCACGCTAGGGCGATTCGTGGCGGATGGAGAAGCTGCGCGAGACTCGTTGCATTCGTCGCTGGCGATCAGGGTGGCGACATCGAACGACCTCCCTTTGAAGGGAAACACGCCTCTTGTGGTATAGGTGGACAAGAATGCTCCGCTGCCAAAGCTCTTGGTCACGCGAGCGCGCGCATCGATCGTCTCGTCCCACTTTCTGCGCGTGCACGAAATCGTTCCGCAAATGTCTTCTGCGGTGAACCCCTCCACCACCTTGTCTCCACGCTGCACCGCGATAGTGCTGCTAAAGGTGGACATCATCTTGCGCCTCACGAAGAGACCGTTGCGAGGCGCGCCAACCAAAGACCATCCGGGCGAGGGCGCGGATGGATCAAGAGATCTCTCGGCTGCGATGCGCCGCAAGAGGTACAGCACGTCCAGAGCGCCACCCATGGGCGATCGCGAGGCGTAGCGCGCATCAGCCGTCCGTGGCGGCTCCTCCGTCGCCGTCGTCGCGGGTGTCGTCGCGTCGCTCTCCTTTTTGCGGGGAGAAAGCGTCTGGGAAGGTAGATCCAGTGGCACCCTTCTCGGCTTGGATCGTTTCGCATGCGTCGCATCCGCACCCGTACCCGCACCTTTCGCGACCTCTTCCACATCGACGCGCATGCGAGCCCCATTCACCAGCACCACCACTTCTCTCTTATTGGTCTCCTTTTGCTTGAGCTTGCGTACCGTGATGCGCGCCACAGTGTCTTCGAGCGAAGCAGCCACGTGCTCGATGGTGAGCCACAAACCGCTCGCACCGCTCGGCGTGCCTCTCCATCGTCGCAAGCAGCTCACGCTGATGGGTGGCGGATCCACGACGAGGTCCAGAGCGCAGCACCATCCATCCGCATCACATCGTAATTCGCACTCCACGTGCTGCTGCTGGCCTTCCGCAAGCCCATATTCCAATCGATACGTCGCCTTGTCGTGCTCGTAGCGAGATGTGCGAACGTGAGCTCCCAGCACGCGCGTAGCCGTCGGAGGCGCGCCATTCTTGATGGCATAATCCCCGACGCCAGACACGGCGGCAGACATTGCAGCAGGCGTCGCGCTCTTGCTCGTCCACCCGCCCGGATCGGACTGCTCGATGAGAGACACGTGCACAGTGGTCGGGTTCAGGCTCTCGATGGACCATCCGCGCAGATCCACTTGCGTGCGAATCGTAGTGGGTGTAGCGGGTGCAGGTAGTTTGGGAAAGAGCGCTCGGTCATCCGTCGAAAAGCTAAAGACGTGATGTGCCGATGGACCCTTGTAGCACGTCTCTACCGTGACGCTATCTCGGGGCGCCACGGGCCACGCAGCCTTGCGTTTGGTCCACCACAGCCGCGTAGCATCTCCAGCATCGTCCACGAGTGCCGCCTCTTCCACGCCTTTGTCCCAAAACATGTGCGCTCCGGGAGTGGTGATGGTGCTGAAAAGGTCCCACACGCCCACTCCCACGAAGGTCGCTTCTGCGCGGTAGACGACCAGCGTTGGGTCGATGCTGTCGAGCTGAGTGACGGTCACCCCGCGCGTATCCGACACGTGCTTCCACTTGGCCTCAGGCTCTTGCAAGAGCGAGGTGAAGTAGATGTAGTTGCGCCGCACGAGCGAGGAAATGGCACCCAAGCGGTCTAGAGGAGGTCGTGGCGCGGGCGTGAGGGATCGCGCAGGCAAGTCTGTCGCTGAGCTTTGCGTGCTTATGCTGAGTCCAGACACGCTGGCAGCGTCGTCGATGTGCGCTTGCAAAGGGGATGAGAGCCAAGCGGCGCTTGGCGGCAGGATGCTCTTGACAAGTTCCGCATTGTCGACGCGAGATTCTGGCAGCGTAGCATCATCTCGATGGACCTCGATTGGCTCGCCATTGATGCGCAGCTTGGCCCCGTCGGTGGGGCCAGCAGACGTAGTGAGGATTCGCTGAGCGGTGAAAGTAGCGCGAACACTGTGTTGAACGTCGGTGAGAGGCGCGTGATGGATGAGGAGGGCGATACGCTGAGCATCTCCGTCGGCGTGCGCGTGCGCTCGCGCTTCCACAGTCCACTGATCAGGAGCAGATGCAAAGGCCCGCGTAGACAGTCGGACATCCCAGATCTCGGATCTAGGCAAGTGCCAGGTGAGCGTTGTGGTGTTGCTGCCGGCTTCTTCGTGCGCACCAGCAGCTGGCAAGACTTGATACTCGTCCAGCAGCGTATCTCGATCGGTCTGAAAAGAGTGTTGAAGCAGTTGGACGTCGCTGCCGTAGTGCGACAGTGTGGGCACTCGCCGCGGAGCTTCATCTCGAGCGAATGATGCGAAGCTGTGGAGGATGGAGGGGAGCTGTGCGGCCAGACCTCCAGCAGGCATGCCCAGCCATGCTCCTCGCAAATCCCAGCTCCAGTACAGCGTGATGTTGAGCGGACCGCCGCTGCCGCTGCCACTACCAGCGTCGACGCTGCGCTGAACGCATATAGCGTAGAAGTGGATGTGCGACCTGACGTGAGGAGGCGATGGTCGAAGGTAAGCGGGCGCGTCGGCGGATCGGGGCAGGCTGGTGGAGACAAAGATCAGGGAGTTGGAATCGCGCAGCACCTGGTCTATAGTGATGGCGTCTCGAGGACTGGCTGGCCAACCGAGTTTGTAGAATGTTCGAGTGATGCGCGTATCCGCGCACACTTGTTCCACCAGCTCGCTGCGATCCACCATGCTGTCCCCTGGGGCGCATGAGGGTGAGGGTGGGCGTGCCGTGAGTGTGAGTAGGGGATGCATGGCTTGTATGCGGTGCCACTCGTCACCGTCACTCACACTGCGCTCTGCACTCGGCAGCATTCAGAGCGGCTTCGCAATCTGCAATTCGCACTTGCCGCTTCCCTTCATCGCCCATGCTGGCATCCACGCTGATCGCCGCTCTGTACAGTTCCGCACCCGATTGCATTCCCAGCTGTTTGCCAGTCGACCGCTTGTGAATGCGTACGTCTCTGCTATGCTGTAGTTGCTGCTCCTGCTTGGCCTTTGCCTTTGCTTGCGCCAATGCCACCGTCTCTGGACCTGGACCCGCTTGGGCTTGGGCTTGCTGGGCCGACGCAGCGCTCGCACTGTGCGCGGTACCATGCTGCTGCTGACCCCCCGCATGCGCCACGGGTTGCTGCACGGCTCTCCAAGCTTTGCTGTCGGATTGAGCAGGAGTGGCGAGGATGCGCAGCGTGTTGAGCGCAGACTCCAGCGCCTTGTTCCACGATGCGTGGGAGCTGCTGCCGGGCGAAGAGCGTGAACATCGAGATCAGCGAAGAAAGGGGGCGAGGGCGTGTATACACTCTTGACTCACTTGTTTGCTGCAGCGGCTTCCACGCCCGCCTTGCTGATCCCCTTGTCCACCATTGCGGTTGATGTGATGAGGGCGAGGGATGATGTGGGGGTGATGTGGGGATGTTGGAGTGAGCGGTGTGGTGTGCAGCACATGTGGTGCGCATGCGTGGGTGCTGCGTGGGTGCGCGTGTGCTGCGCTACTTGCTGACGCGACTGTGGGCCCCGCGCGTGGAGGCTGCAACAAACGCGGGGGGAAAGCATCGTCTCACGTGATCTAGATTCTCGTCTCTCGCACGAGTGGGACGCATATCAACACGCAGAGCGCGCCTTCCAACACGCGCGTGCGCGCGCGGTCGATGCGCTTCTTCGGTTTCTTCTGTGCTGCAAGCGCGCGCCGCGCACCGGTGAGATTTCAAAGGATCGACTCGCGACTGCGACTCTTGCTTGACCTGGAGAGCTCATGATCACCACCAAGTCGCTCTCACACGCGCATACACGTTCGCAAATCGCACATAGAGCATCGCCAACAAGCACATATATCCGCGCATAACCCCCACGCACGCCCTCACGATGGCAGGCCGACTGGGGATGATGCAGCCGCAAGTGATTGTGCTGCGTGAAGGCACCGACACTTCGCAAGGCAGAGGTCAGCTGCTGTCCAACATTGGCGCCTGCCTCTCCATCGTATCCTGCGTGGCATCCACGCTCGGACCGCGCGGCATGGACAAGCTGATGGTGAATGAGCGAGGCGAGGCGACCATCTCCAACGATGGGGCGACCATCTTGAAGCTGCTGGATGTGGTTCACCCCGCAGCCAAGACGTTGGTGGATATCGCTAGAGCGCAGGATGCAGAGGTGGGCGATGGCACGACCAGCGTGGTGCTGCTAGCAGGAGAGATGCTCAAGGAAGCGCGTCCCTTTGTCGAGGAAGGCGTCAGTCCTCATGTGATCGTCAAGGGATACCGCAAAGCAGCGCGCCTGGCCATCGATCGCATCAAGCAGCTGAGCATCACGATCGACAAGTCGGATGCCGTGGCCTTCAAGGATCTACTGAGAAAGTGCGCGGCTACAAGCATGAACTCCAAACTCATCTCTTCTCAGCGAGACTTTTTCACAAACATGGTCGTCGATGCCGTCTCTTCCTTGGACCAGCAAGATCTTGACGAGAGCCTGATCGGCGTCAAAAAGGTTCCAGGCGGCGCCATGCAGGTGCGTCGCGTCGGTGTTTGTGAGGGTGCGCTGGCGGACGACTGACCCTGCCTTCACTCGTGTCCAGGACTCTCTGTTGGTGCAAGGTGTGGCCTTCAAAAAGACGTTTGCATACGCGGGCTTTGAGCAGCAACCCAAATCCTTTGCATCGCCCAAGATTCTCTCTCTCAACGTCGAATTGGAGTTGAAGGCGGAGAAGGACAATGCCGAGGTGCGCATCGATCAAGTGTCCGAATATCAAGCCATCGTGGATGCAGAGTGGCAAATCATCTACAGCAAGTTGGAAGCCATCGTCAAGACTGGAGCAAAAGTCGTCCTCTCCAAGCTGCCGATCGGCGATCTCGCGACACAGTACTTTGCCGATCGCGACATTTTTTGCGCTGGTCGCGTAGCCGCAGACGATTTGAAGCGCGTCGTCCAAGCGGTAGGCGGAGCGGTGCAGTCGACGTGCAGCGATATCCACGACGAACACTTGGGAACGTGCGACACTTTCGAAGAGAAGCAGATTGGCGGAGAGCGATTTAACCTGTTTCAAGGTTGCCCGCAAGCAAAGACTTGCACCCTCATTCTGCGCGGTGGTGCCGAGCAGTTCATCGCAGAAGTCGAACGCAGCTTGCACGATTCCATCATGATCGTCAAGCGAGCCATCAAGAACAATAGCGTCGTCGCTGGAGGTGGTGCCACCGAGGTGAGCGTGGCGAGAGCGCGCGGCGATGGGTTTGGGGATGCTTTCCATTCTGCTCACGCCGCACCCACGTCTTGCCGCAGATGGAAATCTCCCGCTTTCTGCGCGAACACGCGCGGACAGTCGAGGGCAAGCAGCAACTGATCATTTCGGCCTTTGCCAAGTCGCTGGAATGCGTTCCTCGTCAATTGTGCGACAATGCCGGTTTCGACGCGACGGATCTGCTGAACAAGCTGCGCATGAGGCACGCGCAGGGACACACGTGGGAAGGGATCGACATTGAGACCGAAAATGTGGCGGACAATTTGGAGAGACATGTGTGGGAGCCGGCGCTGGTCAAGATCAATGCGCTGTCGAGCGCGGCAGAGGCGGCTTGTTTGATTCTTTCGGTCGATGAGGTGCGTTGCAAGGTGCGAGCCTGCATACGGTGCCCAGCGCAAAGCTGACAATGCATCCCACCGCAGACGATTCGAAATGAGCAGAGCGAGAGGGTGAGTCGTGGGCACGCTTGCGCGCAAAGGGCGCAGCGCTTGTGTGCTGACATGTGCAAGACCTTTATTTGCGCAGCCCAACCCAAATACGAAGCCACTTCCACCAGGTGCGGCGCAGAGAGCGATGAGAGGAAGAGGAAGAGGAGGTGTACCTAGACGATGAAGAGGCAGGCCGCAGCGCATCGATGACGTGGGGCTCATGACGCGAGTCAGCTCGCGTACGAAATACATGCACTCGGCGAGCCAGCACGCATCGCGTCGATGGATCGTGTGCGCAACCCCGTGTTGGATGGTGACGTGGTCGCGTGCGGTAAGACGGCGCGCGCCGCATCTTGATGGTCGCCAGCGAGCGTGAGCATGCTGTCGAGCCAAGAAAAGTAGTAGGATATCTCTGTGCGCTTCAAGCTAGTCGGCTGGAGACGCGAATCGAACCATCGAGCTGCAAAGAAAAGGGAGGAAGGATGATGGGTAGCCGCAAATCGCTCACCTCGTAATTCGGCAATGGATGGGAATACACGTCATGTGATGTGCGAGCTCGGGCTCGGGCGCGGGCATCGGCGTCGGTGTAGGCGTCGAGATTCGCAGCCTCTTAATTGATCTCCCCATTCACGGGCTTTGCGTTCACAATGCTGGATGAAGTATCAACAGCAGCAGCAGCGGCGGAGCAAGGGGAAAGCGGAGCCGTATGCTGCCCAAGAGTCAGATATGTTCGAGCTGCAGCGGATGCGGGGGAGACACGTTCTCGATGGATTGTTCACGCGTTTCAATTTGCTACTACAAAGAAAGTCTGAATGTAGCTTCGCTGGGTAGGAAGAGGGGGGAAACGATGGTGCGGGTCACGAAGCAGGGGGGGAATGATGGGCTGATGGTAACATCGAAGACGGACTTTTCGTCTCTACGACTTGAGGAAGAGGACCGGAGGGTAGCCATTCGTTCCTGCTGGCTGCACATTCTTCTCGTCGCCGACCAGAATGGCGTTGGGACTGCCTTTGCTTGTGGCGTAGCCGTAGTTGCCAATCTTTCCGTTGCGTTTGTAGATCGAGGTGATCTCACCGTAGGGCTGGAAGAGGAGAAAGGGGGAAAAAAAACAATCAGAATCATGATATCAAACGCTTTCGGGGAGCTCATTCGGAGCTGATGGGTCTCACGTTGTAGAAGTTGAAGAATTGCCTGGCCTGATCAGCGTTGTCGACGTCGCTGCATGGCTCGATGGTCAAATGCGTGCGACCTGAAGGGTTGTTGGAGTGGAGAGCGGCGTGTCTCTGCACACACTTGGTGGTGTCAGAAGCGAGCTTGAGCTTGATGGGAGAGTCTCCGGGGTAGTACTGCTCGTGGAAGGTGAAGCCGAGGTGGGTGCTGTTGCACTGTTGGTGAAAGACCTCCAGCTTCTTCGCAGCGCCCTTGAGCTCCACAAGCTGCACTTGACCTCCAGCAGAAGTTTGTTGTCCAACGGTGAAGGGCGTGATGTAACCGCCAGCGTTGCCCTGCACACATAGTGAAGAGAGGCGCGCAAAACGGATGAGCATACGCGCGACTTGTAATGCTTGCTCATTCGCGATTCCGACTCACGTTGCCAAGCTGGAGCTGGGTGGCCTTGGTAGAAAGAGGGCCACAGGAGATCGTGCCGGCAGCGGGAGCCGATAGCGCGGCAGAGGCCAGCGTGGCAACAGCCAGAACAGACTTGATGACGATGCTGGAGAGCATATTGAGAGCGTGAGTGTAGAGGTGAGAAGGGAAAAGCTGGCGGTCAGAGGGAAAGTGGGGAAAGGTGGATGGGGGGATATGGTGATGAATAGGACCCCACCTCTGAAGCGTCGCCTTTTGTACCTTTTCTCGCCCGCCTTTCACCCCCAGGCACAGCTCGTGGCGCGCACACCTTCCGAAAGGTCGCTGCACTCACGACTTATCGTGCACGTCCATTCAACCCCCACACCCGTGACGAAGCTTGAGGAGCTCTGTTCCGCCACTATACTTGCTTGCTCTTTGGGTCGCCTCTCCATCGCACACGAAGAATCGGGATCGAGCGTCGCCGGCGGTCCGTGTCAGATCTGCATGCGTGCATGCATGATCGGCGATACATCCGATTCGCGTCCCGACCTTTCGCACTTAAGATCCCATGATGCTGCTAGCAGAAGCGGGCCCGCCGCGCGCGCGCCTCTTCGACGCTTTCTGCGGCTCAAGATGCGGGTCACACATGCACCATCGCGCAAGTCCGGAAGCTTGTATGAACCTCCCCCCCCCCCCCTCCCCCCTCTCGGCAATAACTCATCAGCAATTAGAAAAGGGTCCGGATCCGTTTACACGACGAACGTGCTCGTTCGTGCGTGTCGCCGGCCATGCGGAAGGACTACGCTGACCTCATCCACCAGATGCTCCATCAGGTCAGGCGCACGCACCGACGCAGGTACCCAAAACATTCCCGCGTTGGACCCTTCTCTTCTCTTCTCTTCTCGACTTCTAAGCGAAGTGCAGGATCGCACCAGAAAAGGGCCATGGAATACGCTTCGGCGCCGAAGAAGGGGTTAGCGAGTACGTTTCGGCGCCGACGAACATCATGCGCGCTCCCACGCAGTGTCTCTTGCTTGCTTTTCTGTGCATTCAGTTACAAATCCCACTTATTTGCATCCCACATCGCTTTGCATCGACGTTGCCGAACGGCGTTCATTGTGGGGGGTGACTGCGTGCTGATTACATAAAAACACAACGGACGCGCTTGCGGGTTGCCCGACGCGAAGAACACGAGCCTCAAGTGGAGAGCGTAGCGATACAAAGCCACGAAAGTTATCATCCGCATCGTCGTATAGCCCACGAAGCTGGAACACGGCGATTAGCGACGCCCCGCTCAAGTGTTAGCAAGCGCGGGCGGGGCCTTTTTACTCGAGCCTCTCATCGTAGATCAATCTAATGTTCCTGCTCTCCTCACCTCGCCACGCAAGCCGAGCGTCGTTGGCCCTGGCCACCGCACGTCTCACATCCCGCATCAATCCGCCCGGTCCGCTGGTATAGACGACGCTGGGCGCGTTGCTCGTCGTCGTGCTCAAGAAAGACTCTAACAAGGCGTTGATGCTAGGTCTCGACGAGGAGGAGGAGTAGGAGGCAGTGTCCTGACTTTTGTTGTGGGCAGCAGCAGGCACATCCTTCTCGAGCGATTGCACCGGCAGTTGAGGACTGCTGCTGCTCCTGCTGTCCGAAGTGGAATCCTTGTTCGAGTCGACTTCGAAAGTAGTTTGAGTTCGTTTCTCGTGACGTGCCTCGTGACCTTCTCTGGTGGATATGATGTTCACCTCGACCATTCTGCTTCGAGTCAGCTCAGCGAGCTCCGCTTCCGCCCACGCGGCATCCCGGTCATGCCTGACGAGCCACACGAGAGAGGTGGTGCCGGTGGTGCGCACCACCGCTCTGCAATCCTCCAACGACGCCTTGTCGGATGCAGCGCGCAGCAGCAGCAAGCGCGCTTCCTTGGCTCGCCGAACGCGTTCCCTCAGCACGGGCAGCACAAAGGTGATGCCTGTCCCTCCAGCCAGGCAGAGCGCATTGTGAGCAGCATCCAAGTCGCTCGTAATGTCGTTGCCGTAAGGGCCGGTGAGCAGCAAAGACGTCTTGCTGCTGCGCTCTCTGAGCAGCGCTTCGGCCACCTTGCGCGTCTCTCCGCCCTTTGCGCGCATGATGAACGAGTGCGTCGCAGCCTCGTGATGATGATGACGACTTTTGGCATGGCTCGCTGCTGCTGCTGCTGCCGGAACGAAAGAGGTAAAGGGATGCGACTGCCAGATGCTGCCGTGACTGGAGAATGTGAGAAAGTAGTGATCGCCGGGGGCGTTGCGTGCTTGCTGATGCGTCAAGTCGAGCCTCACGACCGGCACATCCTCGTCAGAGTCGAAAAAGGTGACGGCGGCTTGGATGGGAGCGAGAGCAGTGGTCTGCGCTGCGCGAATGTAGTCGTGGTGGAGCAAGAATGTCCTTACAAGTCTTGCGCCTCTGTCGAGGCCCCAGATGAGGAGGGATGGCAAGAGGAAGCATTTCAACTTGTCCCAGTGACCCCAGCAAGCGCCAATGTAGAGCATGGCAAGGATGTAGTGAGCTTTTCGAAAGAATTCGTGGCCCGTCCTTCGAATGACGACGGGCAGGCTGAGCACAAAGAGGATGGTGAGCAGGACCATGGCTACGACTCCCCACACCATGTACTTTTCCTTGATCCAAGCAGCTCCTACGCTGGGTTGAGGTTGGTACAGGCGGCCTTGAACGATGGACCAACCGATGGTGTGGAGCAGGCTCTGGATGAGGATGACCCAGCCGAGCCATCGATGCATAAAGTTAAAGTGGTGGTAGGGTATGCCGGTGAGCAGGGATAGCAGACTCTCTCGCGTGGATAGCAGGATGGAGAGGGGGGTGAGGGCGTATGCCCAGAGGCCTATCCTGTCTGACCATGGACCTAGACCGGTCCTGGTGTTGTACACGCCGGGCATCTTCTTGACGGGCGTGACCCATTTTTGGTAGACGATGCCGACAAAGGTGAAGATGGTGATGTAGGCCAAGAGAATGGCAAAGACGAGCACTTGCTGACGCGTGGCTCGAAACGAGGCGATCTGAATGTCTGGCATCAGCTTGCTCCTGGTCCATGCGCGCGCTGCGCTCGCAGCTCGGTGGAGCGATGAAGCTGCAACGCCACCGCGTCCACCGCCTCGAGATGTGGAAGTGAAGGTGCAGCGGTGGGCGATGGTGTAGAGTAGGAGGAGAGCTAGAAGCAGGGCCCAAAAGACGCCGACGTAGAGCATGCCCAGATCATGGGAGCGGTAGACGGTGTCGAGGTAAGCGCAGGATCCGGCATCGTTTGTGCATGGCAAGGCCCTGGCCGCATAACCCCAGTGAGGTTGCAGGCTGGCCGCTTCTGAGAAATTTTGAATGTGGCGAGCGAGGAGAGGTGTGGAGGGCAAGTCTGGTGGCAGCGCGAGGGATTCGGACATGACGGGCTGGCTGGCTGGCTGGCTGGCTGGTTGAATCAGAGGGGAGAGCCTGTTGAGGAGGGTCAGTGGTCGTTGGTGGAGAGCAGAGCAATGCGTAATGTAAGCGAGGGGGGTGAAGATGACAAGACTGTTTCTATAGGAAGGGCAGCTTGGAAGCTGCTTCTATGGTCAGCAGTAGTCGCGCGGTTCAGAAGCGAGCAAGACGATACAAGTAGGCGCTCTAGTCTGGAGGCGTGTGTGTGTGTGTGTGTGTGTGTGTGTGTGTGTGTGTAAGGAACAATCGCTTGTCGTGCCTGCGTAACGTGGCGTCGAGTGTAGGGAACATCACAAGACATGAGTGTGAGTGTGAGTGTGAGTGCGAGTGCGAGTGCGAGTGCGAGTGCGAATGCGAGTGCGAGTGTCACACCCTTCCATCATACCGTACAGCGCAGCCCAGCACCCTGACTCTTGCACACCACCCACACAGTGTCCATGCCGTGAAGCACAATCACGAATGCGAATGCGAATGCCAATGCGAGTGCGAATGCGAATGCTACCTCGGCGCCTTTCTTGCGGTCCTTGTCAAGAAAAAAGCATGGCTGTCAAGAAGAAGAAGAAGAAGAAGAAGAAGAAGAAGAGAAAAACCATCCGAGAGCTGGCTGTGAATCTGCAATGCCCAATTCGTGATTCTTGCTTTGTGGATCTGCAAGATCTGAGAAACATGTGAACGAGAGCATGGCTGGTGGCGGGCGGGCGCGCGCTGCACGAATAGCTACTCTGACTGTAGACCAGCAGCAGCTGGACAGTCGTGAGTCACAACAGAGTGAGGGTGTTGAAGGCGCGAGTGCGGTCCGGTAGATAAGCTTGTGGTCGATCGCGAGACGTGAGTGAAGCAAGCGCACGCACGCACGCGACGCAGGTATGGCGTCTTGCAGCTAGCTGATCATCTATCTGTCCACGCACGCACGCACGCGGGATGGACGCGCTAGTCAAGGTGCGGCGCGCGTGTGTGTGTGTGAATCGCGATCGAGTCGTGAGTCGAGGCTTCTCTGGGCGCGCGCATGCACGCATATATGCCAAGAGAGCGCTGCTGCACAAACATCATACACTGTACCTGTATGCAAGGCATCAGCCTAAATCGTCGCCACTTGCCGCTTAAAAAACGCTCCGAGGGATCTCTGCGAATTAAGGCACCGAAAGCACAAGCACAAGCACAAGCACAAGCACAAGCACAAGCACAAGCACGAGCACAAGCACAAGCACAAGCACAAGCACAAGCACAAGCACAAGCAGCACGCCCCTCCTCGCACGCCATTTCTCCTATCCATCAACCAATCTCTCCGCTCTCTGGCCCAATAGTGTGTGCCGCTGCACTTTCCCCCCCCTTCTGACACTTGTCACCCGTGGGCGCGTGATGCTTCGCACGCCGAATTTGGGCGAAAAGGTACGCCGCCCGCTTGCATAGCGCATTGCCCACATCACTCACAAACCAAGCCTAGCTGCGCCTTGCCAGGAACAATGCGCCGAAGCAGTGCGCAGGGGATCGGCCACATTCGTGGTGATTTCGCGGATTGCCCTTGGCCAAGCAATGATGCTCACGAGGGGGCGCAGATCATTAAAAATTGGAATGGACCAGCAGCAGCGCGATGCTTGGAGAATTCGAAGCGCGTTGCGTTGCAGCTGACAAGCCCTGCTGTCGAAGCGGGGGTCTTCCGGTATGTTCGCGCGATTGACTGATGCCATCGCAGACGTCAGCGCAGCATTCTCGGCTCGATTCGATTCGCGCTCGGTCAAGTTGCTGCCTTGTGAGGTAGCCGGGGGGGTGATGGGCGACGGTCACGGCGTCGTGCAATTCAGCGAGGCAGTCCCGATCTCGCCATGTCCCATCACCGCACTCGACTTGCAAGAACATCACACATACCTGCCAACCGCGTCGCACACCCCACATCGCACGCCGCACATCGCACGCTTTCCTCTCTCTCACGCACACGCGCACACACACCTCGACGCACCCAGCAACTTTCTCTCGCCCTCCCCCCCTTCTCCTGCTCGACACGATGAATCACGGAGATGGGATGGACATGGGGGCGGACGCCTGCAAGATATCGGTGAGTGGGTGGTGGTAGCGAGCGCAAAAAGGGCCAACGCTTGCAGCAGCGTGTGACTGCCTTCTCCCCCACATGGCAAAGCTCGCAGCTGACAGCTGATCCCCCTTGACGCCATGCCACAGATGCTGTGGAATTGGTACACTGTGGATGCTTGTGAGTTGTTACCTCTGGACGCGCGCGCGCGCTCAGCGAAACATTCGCCCAACTCGATGTGCTCTCATGTCATGCTCACCATGACCGACGCAACAACTACATGTTCCCCGCGCCCCCGCCCCCCCCCCCCCCCCCACCCATCCCAACAGGCTTTCTCAGCTCATCCTGGCGCATCACAAATGGCGGGAGCATGGCAGCTACGTGCATCGGCGTCGCTTTCCTCGTCGTCCTGCTCGAATTCACGCGTCGATTGGGCAAAGAGTACGATTTGCTGATTCGACGTCAATGGGCAGTCAGAGCTTCGCAATTATCGCGCATCAACAGCAGCAGCACGAGCACGAGCACGGAAGATGCAGCAGCTGCCGGTCCGATCACGATCAAGTTCAGAGCCACACCGTTGCAGCAACTCATCAGGTCGCTCTTGCACGCCACGACGTTCGCAGCAGCGTACATCGTCATGCTCCTGGCCATGTACTTTAACGGATTCATCATCCTCTCCATCATCCTCGGCGCGGGTCTAGGCAAGCTCCTCTGCGATTGGGAAACGCTCGAAATCACCCTGGACCTGGACCACCACCATGCTGGCAGCAGCAGCAGCAGCGCAAAGGAGCACAGCAGGGTTACGGCCACCACTTGCGAGGATCCCACCGTGTGCTGCGGCTAGACTTTTGCGATTCGCTCACTGGACCCCCTCTCGTCATCACCCCGCTCTTGTCTCCCTCTTTACGAATGGTCGATGCGCTTTCCAAGAAAAGCCTCGGTCGTGTTGGATTGGACGAAAAAGAGCGTCGCGCTGCGTGTCCAGTCCGCGTGGGACTCACAGTCAGACCGTGCGTGACCTTGGAATGTTGAGGATACGATTACTGCCTTTGGCGATGCAGTCAGAGTAGTCAAAAGGCACGAGTCAAGCGTCTGATGAGTGTGGAGTCAAGAGTCAAGTAGTGAAGCGCGGCAGTCGATCACTCACGAGTCCGACGCAGCTTCGCGGATGATCATGCAGCGCTGCAAGCTGCGTCTGATGTGTCCGCGGGCGCAACCTAAGGCGTGCACGCGAAGCATCATCACGTGACTGATGAACCGTGCGCGCGATCAGACGTGCATGCATGGGCGCTTGCGAGACCGGCCGACGCTGGCGCGTCCCTTGTCCATGTCGGATCTCCATGCACCCTCAGCCTGCTTTCGTTCACGTTGTGCGCGACTTTTGATTTCTTGCCTCCAACACGCACCCATACTCGCACGCTCCTCCAGCTCTTTCATCCCTCATCACGCGCTTGCCCTCGAGCATCACATTACGCCTTCTGTTCTGCCCTGCCCGCTTTGGTGTGATCTTTGCGACAGGGACAAAAAGTCCCACACACTTGCTTTGCCCATCATGGAGGAGTTGGGAATCAGGAGGGAAGAACCCACATTCGATGAGGCGGTTGCCGAAAAGACGGCTGTGCACGAAGCGCTGGGGCAGGAAGAGGACACGTTCTTGAGGTACAAGAAGCTATCTCAGCACCTCGAGTTCCTCAGCACGATGGAGGATTACGTCGTGAGTATCGGTAGGGCAAGTGGGCGGGGGATCCCCGATGATTTTGCCAGGTTGCGTGGCATGTTTTGCTGACCGCAATCCTCCACCTCATCCTCCCATCCCCTGGCAGAAAGATGAGCAACGCAACTTGAAGAGGGAGCTGGTTCGAGCGCAAGAGGAAGTGAAGCGCATACAGAGTGTGCCGCTCGTCATTGGTCAATTCCTCGAACCCATCGATCAGCACACTGGCATCGTCGGCAGCACAACCGGCAGCAATTACGTCGTCAGGATCCTCAGCACGCTGGATAGGGAATTGTTGAAACCAAGCAGCTCCGTGGCGCTGCACAGGCACTCCAATTCGTTGGTAGACATTTTGCCTCCAGAGGCTGATTCGAGCATCGCGATGCTTGGCCAGGATGAGAAGCCCACGGAGACGTATGCAGACATTGGTGGAATGGGTGAGTGGCGAGCTGAAGTGCGGCAGCTCCATGGGCTCAACCGTCGCTCATTCTCCTCTCCTCCATCTGCCAACGTAGACATCCAGAAGCAAGAGATCCGAGAGGCTGTAGAGTTGCCATTGGTCCAGTTCGACTTGTACCGACAGATTGGTATCGATCCACCTCGCGGTGTGAGTTGCCCCCAACCTCGTGTAGTGGCACCTTGTGGCCCCCCTTGCTGACTTTCGCGTCGCGCGCAACCTCCAGGTCCTGCTCTATGGCCCTCCAGGTACAGGCAAAACCATGCTGGTCAAAGCTGTAGCGAACGCCACAACAGCAAGCTTTATCAGGGTCGTCGGCTCAGAATTCGTTCAAAAGTATCTCGGAGAAGGTCCAAGGATGGTTCGCGACGTCTTTAGACTAGCCAGAGAGAACGCACCGGCCATCATCTTTATTGATGAGATCGATGCCATTGCGACCAAGCGTTTCGATGCGCAGACTGGCGCTGACAGAGAAGTACAGCGCATCCTGCTAGAGCTGCTGAATCAAATGGACGGCTTTGATCAAGGAAGCAATGTGAAGGTGAGTGGGGAGGGGGGGGGGGGGGGAGGGGCGCATTTGTTCGGCTCACATGTAGAGGGCAGCATTGACCTGGACAGCTCTTCTCTTGCGTGCAGGTCATCATGGCAACCAACCGAGCAGACACGCTAGACCCAGCACTTTTGCGTCCTGGTCGTCTGGATCGCAAGGTGCGTGGTGGTGTCGTGGTATGGACAGAGGGGTCCGGAGCCTTGGCTTAAGATGTAGCCCTCCTTCTCCCCCCCTCTTTCCCAGATCGAGTTTCCGCTGCCAAACAGGCGAGAGCGCCGATTGATCCTGCAAACCATTACGGGAAAGATGAATCTGGCACCGGATGTGGACATGGAGGACTACGTCAGCAGACCCGAAAAGCTTTCGAGCGCAGAACTCAGCAGCTTTGCGCAAGCTGCCGGACTGCAGGCCGTGAGGAGAAACAGATATGGTGAGTTGTTTTTCGACGCAGAGGGATTTTTTTTTTTTTTTTGCTGCGGAGCCTTCGATTCGAAGCACAAGAAAGCGTGGCCATGCCCCCCCCAAACTCATGACTTGCGGACCTTTTTTTTTCCTTCTTTTGTTTCTCTGGGCGCGCGCGCGGACGGGCACCTTGCAGTGATTTTGCCTGCCGACTTTGAAGAGTGAGTTTTTGACCTTTGTGATGTCGTGTGCGCGAAGCGTGTTGCCATACGTCGCATGCTCATCGTGGTCCCTCCATCCCTTCATTTTTCCCCCTCCCTCATCCTACAGAGCGTGGAAGCAAACGGTCAAAAAGGAAGGGGACAACAAGCTCGAATTTTACGCTTGATTGATACGTTGGTTGCTTTGTCGTCTTGCAGCAGCAGCAGCAGCAGCAGCAGCAGCAGCAGCACCGCCAACTTTTTTTCAAGAGACAGACAGACACATCAATGCGATTCCGCTTTACTCGAAACGCTCGCTCCCAATCTTTCCGAACGTGTGCGCGCGCGCGCGCGTCTGCCAGGCTTGTATTTTGAAGAATGTTGTTTGTGGGAAGGGGGGCGGTGCAGGAAGGATATGCAGAGTTATATTACAGCACGAGGCGAGGCGAGGCGCGAGGGGGATCTGAAGACGATGGGGAAGGGAGCAGCTGCAGAAGTCAAGAGTTGCGTTCTGATCTTGCTTTTTTTCGAATCAGAATCAGGGCAAGGGCTCCGCAGAGGAGCTGAGACGATTCAAGTGCAGGTAGACGTCTGTGAAGTCGCGCGCAAAAAAAGTCGCGTCGCGTCGCGAGTGCAGCCAGAACAGCACGTTTGTCAGCCCCTTTTTCCGTGCAGAGAAGTGAGCGGATAGCACTTATCGATGGGGCGCGCGCGCGCGCGCTCGACTGACCTGTGCCGTACCCTTCCATCGAGATGAGTTTCAAGTCTCCGCCAAAGTACCTCGCGTACTGCGAGCGAACGAAGCAGAGGGGGCAATCAATCGCGTGAATGAGAAGGGGGGGGGGGAGGGAAGATGATGAGCGTGCGTGCGTGCGTGTTCGAACGCCTGGATGCGATGCGATGCGATGCGACGCCTCACCAATCGTGCTAGAGGCAGTCCGTATCCGAAACCGGCCATGGGCGCCTTGAAGTCGCTCGCTTGAAAGTCGGGGTCTGAGAAAGGTGGCACATGTGTGCACGAAAGCCGTCTGGGTGGTTAGACATTCGTCGCACCTTTCCGGCGTTCCGAACGCATCTGCCACCAGCAGCAGCAGCAGCAAAGCGCCAAAACTCACCAAGATCCTCGGACTGGGCGGTGGTGTACATATAAGTCCAAACGAGGGACATTTCTGACCTGGGAATGCCTCCGCCCTCATCGCTAATCTTGATGGTAATGTCCTCCTTGCCCTCCACGACGATGACCTTGATGGGTGGGAAATTGTCCTCATTCTCCACCCCGTACCGCTCCACCACCGCTCGAAGGGAATTTTTGAGCAGCTCGAACATCATGTGCTGAACGAAGCATGTGCGCAACAGCGAAAGAGCGCGCGTGTCAGAGAGATCGAGATGTAGAACGACGACTTCAAATTTGGCGGCATGATCGGACTCACGTTCAAGTGGCTTGGCACGTACCTGCGAAGCGACTCTACCGTTAGTTGCGCATTGACGACATGGCAAAATGCTGCACTCACATGAACGTCAAATCCTTTGGACAGATGAGCTGCACAGGTGGTCCCTTGAAAAGCCCATAGTGTTCCTCGCAGACGAATCTCGCATTCTCGATTGCCTCGTGCGCGATAGCCCCAACATTCGTGTTTGTGCAGATGATGCCCACATACTTTTCCGGCTCGCCTCCGTTGGGCCCAACACCGGCGGCGCCTCCGCTCGGGGGGGCAGAAATGCGAGATTGCTGAATGGGGTCTCCATCAAGCGTGGTCGCTTGGTCAGGTGATGTGCGGGCCAGAGCAATGTGTTGTCCGATGAGGATTCGGATGCCGATGCGCGACATGTAGAAGCGGTCCAAGAATCGCTGCACGTCCGCTTGAATGTTCTGACCCCGTCGTGCGCGTTTGTACTCCAACACTCCTTGCGCTGCGAGCGGAGCAGGACCACTGTGAATGTCTGTTTTGAAAGGCCCCGCCGCCACGATGATCATACTCACCGACAGTGGTCACTACAGCATCGTGCCGCTTTTTGATCTTGTCGAGGCACTGTGTAAAGCTTTCATTCCAATCGATCACTTCTGGCGGCCACTGCTTGATATTCGCGTGATCCGCATAGTAACTGCGAAAATGCGCCCAGACGCAGCGCAAATGCGGTGAGGTGAGCCGCGCGATGCTCGGCCACTCTCGTCCAACACGATGCATCCGTGTGTGTACGATGCTCACCGATGATGAATGGGGATCCTTTTCTTGCCCGCATCCGTGGTTGCGGTTGCGTAACCGCTGGCAGACGAGCTCATCGCGATTCCAGCTTCGTGCAGCTCCCTCGCCCTCTCCCTCATCCTCTCCTCGCTCGCCTCGACATTATCCTTGTTCTCTGCCAACCAAGCTGATGATCCAGCGATGCGTTCCAGCCTCTCTGATTCGCTCGCTCTGCCTTCCTCGATGTCGTTGCCCTCCTCTGACAAGGCTGGATTGGGTGTTGAGCCTGGCAAGCCTGCTGCGTTGTGCGAGACGGAGGATGCTAGCTGATCGCGGATTGATGGAGGTAGCTGCGGCCTTGGAAATTGGATCAGTTCCTTGAGGTGTGCGTGATCAGAGCAAGACCCGAGTGAGCACGGAGCATTCGAGCGAGTTGGGAAGGGGGATTGGGTCTGACTCAGCTCACTTCGAAAGACTGGGCGTACCAATCGCGGACGCGACTGATGGAGGGCATCTGATTCAAGCCTTTTGGCAACTCGTCCAGCTCCTTGACTCGATGCGCAAGTCGGATGGGCAGCTCCTCTATTGAAAGGGTAAAGCAGCGAGTGGAAATAGAAGCGGCATGGGTCAGCACAGCGAGGTCCTTGGCAGAGCCATGTGGAGCGGGGGAGCCGGGGGAGGGGGGGGGGGGGGGGGAGATGAGTGGAGGACTGACTTACCAGCTAGGAAGCTGCCTGCCTGCATGACGGTGCCCGGATTGAGATTCCTTCCGAAAGCGACCATCTGTGCCAGACTGATGCCCGTTTGTGGGAAGGATGCAAAGTGATGAAGCTGACTCCATGTCTTTGGACTGATCTTGTACGACCTGTTGCGAGTGCGGGTGCGAGTGCGGGTGCGGGTGCGGTGAAGCGTCAGTTGCGGAGCGAGCAGAGGCGGCCTTGCGACGTGTGAGTGGCAGAAGCAGAAGCAGCAAGACGATGCGCAAACCGAGCGTAGGACACTCTCGGGGCCTCGTGCTGGCTACTGCGCGCGTAGTACGCACATGATGGGCAACCAATTACCTGCACATGGAACTTGCGATCCCACCTTTGAGCTCCCTGTCCGCTTCCTCTACTCGGCCGCGGTGATGGATTGGTGTATGCCAGCTTGTGGGTGTTGCGTGCTGGAGGTGGGAGGTGGAAGGCCGTGCGTGAGTGCGTGCGTGCGTGCGTGCGAATGCCCGCCTTGAGAGTGAGCGTGGTGCGCGGGTGATGATGGCAGAAAGGAGGGAGGAAAGGTGAGATGGATTGGTGTGAGAGGGGGATCGAGGCATTCAATCACCGTGTTCGTGATCGTGTTCGTGTTCGTGATCGTGATCGTGATGATTGCATTCACCCGCCCTCCCGCAGCCAGCATGCACAACTCTAATAAGTCATTTCACGATTCACGAGCCCATCCCCAGCAGCTTGACGCCGACGCCGACACATCATCGATGCGGGTGATATTCCGCATCCTCCCCATCCGCCTTGCCCATTCACCCCATTCACGCATTCACCACACTCACACATTCAAGATTAAGATTCGGCGCTACAACACATGACAGTCAGTCACGAGTGCGGTGCGGTGCGGTGCGGTACGGTACGTTGCATAGCACGCGCGCGGCTCGTGACTCGTGACTCGTGACTCGCGACTCGCGACTCCACCCAAGCAAGCAAGCAGGCACCGCTCTGACTCGCCCACGCAGTAGCTCGATCGTCACCTGATGCGGGGCAACTCGGCTTTCAGCATGCTGCATGCATCAGCATCGATCGCAAGCGCGCCTGCATGCATGCATGCTGGGCCCGGAGTCCAGCGCTGGGAAGTGGGCGCGCTAACGTCGAGAATATTCTGCTTAATGCGCAATCAATCCATGGGTCCCGCTCTCGAGTCGTGAGTCACGAGTCACGATCGAGTTCTTGCACGGCAGTCACGGGTCACACGAGCACGTGAGCTTGCGTCCAACGTCTTCGTGTTCAAGATTCAAGATTGCACTTTGACTCGACTCACCCTCACACTTGACTCTCGTATCTCGACGGTGACGCATGATCCACGACTCCACAGTCCGAGTCCGAGTCCCAGTCCGAGTTACGAGTGTAATCGCAACGCCCTAAACAGCTTCATCGATCCTTCCATTTCCATTTCGCAGAACACTAGTCCCATCACCGCCACCTAACCTTGTCCTCATCGCACAAAGATCATCCATCCGTCCATGCCAGCCACCAATCACGGCACAGCTCGAGTCGCTCGCTCGCTCGTGCGCTCGCTCGCTGGCCTTCCACCTGACCTGATCAGGGCGCGATCATGTGCGCATAATGTCCTTGTAGATGCTGTAAGCGAACCAGAGCTGCCAAAAGCCAAAGATTCCGTCCGTTGCGATGGTCAGCCAAGCGTACCAAGGCACTTGCGGCTTTACAAATTGCGTGCGCGCGCGCGCGCGCCGTCAAAAGGATCAAAGGAGGGGGGGG